AACAAATAAGTTATATATACTTAAGTATTAATATATGTAGTATTATATGTTTTGACTATCCAAAGGTTTTTTTGACACCGTCCAATATCCAAATGTCTAAATATTCACAAGTGTCCAGAGTATGTCCAAGCTTTAATAATTAATTTTTTTTCTTCAGTATTAAAGTGAGGTCTTGCCTTGTATCTTTATTAGATGTGTCAAGTATTTGCCTTATATGGTTACATATAATATTAAGAATACTGGCTTAGACAATTTTATCTATGACCTAAACCTACCAGAGTATGCTATGTTCCCACCACGTATTGGGTTATATCTAGATTTGGTGTTCAAACTATATCTAGTTACCCACTGTATTTACCCCATATCTCATCATCAAATCTTGATAACTTCCAAATTGGTTCATTCAAGTAATCAGTTCTTAATAGCTACCCAATTTGGTGTGTCTGTTATTCGAAATATTTTCTAGACTAGTATACTCCTCCTAATAGATGGCCTCTCATCTATATTTCTCAAACCAGATACCTGCTGCCACTGCTAGTCTCACATGAGAAGCATTGATATCATATATTGAAAAGAGGACTTATCATGGGTTTGCACTGCTCAGTTTTTGCTGGTTTGCATTCCTTCATGCAACTTATATTACATGAATGCCCCAAACCTCCCACTTGTATTTCCAGATATACTAGCCTTGTATCTCAAGCCAGGTTTCTGCTGCTGCCGCCCGGTTTGCCATCCTCAGGTCTTAGCGTTTCCTAAGTTATCTGATACAGTATACTTCTTACTACTCTCTAAGTACTCTCTTATATGGTATTCGTCAGAACCATAGTTCATAAAGACCCCTTGAGTTGTACAGCAACTACAAGGCTATATACTCCCAGCTATTGGCTATTTTTATAATTTTGCTTTAATGATCTATCTTGTTAAAGACCAGCCTAACACTACGAAATTACTTAAGTAGCAAGCTAAATTACTTCTGGCTAGCTATTTTTAGTTAGTATCGCATTAATGTTGGTAAATCCTAACTCTTTTTCATTATAGACTTTCATATAGATGTGACCAGAGCTTCGAATTAGTACTTTTAGATATACAGGGGTATGTTACATTCTCTACACCAAGTAGCCTTCTATAGTCATTCCACTGGTACTAGAGATACTTCCAATTCTAGTTAAGACATAATCCTTTACTACAGCCCATAGTTGTATATCACCACTTCTCTCATTACTCCAGTTTTAGTAGTATAGTATTACCCTTCCAAGCAAGTACCCAACGCCATTCTATATTAGGACTTATACACACGATTCATTGATCATCTTTCCAAGCAAGTACCCTACAAGTTGGGTGTAGAGATGTTGGTATTGCCAAATATAAAGATAATAGAATGTTGGTATTGCCTCCGAGTCACCCCAACCAGAGGACTTATACGCATGATCTTCTACTTTCTAGACCTTCTGTAATGTTGCTATCACATGTAATGCTTCACTCCACAATCTGGTCTCCTTCTGAGAACTTTTTATTCTGGTTTCATATTGCATTTGAACTTTTCACAGGGCTTTATATCTGATTATAGCCCCGTAGATTACAGAAACAAATTTTTTAATTTGCCTCCAGCCTAACTCGAACCGTTGACCTTGTTTGTGGGGGTTTGGAAGCTTAACCAATAAGCTATAGGACCCAAACCCTTTAATAATTAATAAATTTGTTTAAAAAATATATTATTATATATATTTTTATATGCTGAACATATTTTATTTAGAAATTAATATAAATTATCTTAATAAAATTTTAAGTAATTTTAATTTATTTAATTGTTCAAAATTGTCCAAAGTGTTTAAACTTACTGTCTATAACTATCCCATAATAATACTAAATATATATATATATAACTAACTTAATCTATATTCATTTGATATTTGACTAATTACAAGTATTTAAGAGTTAAAGTTTTGTTTAGTTGTGCTGAGTATTAACTATATTGTACTTGGTCCAAAATATTGCCCAAGTATTAATTCTCTTCTTGATTTAACCAATCGATAAACAAACTCCTATATATAAGTATAATTAATCTGGTGATTCATATAGACAAGAATATATATATACTTTATATATATAGTTAATATTTTTAGAGTATAAATTTGAACTTGAATCTTTTATATCTGAGTTATTAGTATACTAAATAGAGTTAAGTCTGTTATATAAGTAGATTAGATATTGTTTTTTTCTAGTTAGCAAAGTTTATATAATAAGATTTTTATAATAGTTCATATAGTTGCTTATTAATTTTAAATAGTAGATTAATTATAGTATTTGATATTTTTTTTTTGGTTTTAAGATGACCTTTTAATCATATTGTGCTTTTATTGTATTAAGACAATCATTATACATATTTAGAGAGTATATCAAGTCATATCTGCACCTTTTGAGTACCTATTTAAGTAGTTTGCCTATTACTAAGTTCTATACTATTTGCTATATCTGCAACCTAACTAGAAGATTATCCATTTAAACCCTCCGTGGCTATATACTTTGAGGTCTATATTAATCAGCACCATTTCTCTAGTTCTATAAACTAGTCTCCCTGATATATGTTTCATATACTGACTTAGGACTACTTTATCCTTGAGATAAACTTAGCAAAGTTTGCAATATTCTCACTTTATATTATATCTAATCTATGTTTCAATTTGATATATACAGACCATAACCTATCACTTGTGACTTAGTTTTACTTATTTTAGAAGTATATATAGCATCAGGTTGAAGTTTCTGCCTATAGTTTTTTCTCTAACTTAAACTTTTACCTGCTTTCTTTCTATGATTTAACCACAGTTTGGCTGAACTCTGCTATCTAAACCTACTTCTGTCTTTATAAAGTTCACTCAAATCTTAGAACTTATTTCATAATATATTTCTAGTATTTTAGTAACCTAGCTTCCTTTCTCTAAACTTCTAATTCAGATAGTCTAATATATATTATATATTTTTTTCTGATTTAATGATAGTCTAGTTGATGTTAGTGATTTTATCTATTTGTCTAATAGCAGAAGCCCCAACTCTGGTTCTTAGACTTCCAATCTAGATGGCCCAGTAACTGTATATTTTTTTTTGTATTTAGATAGATACCCTCTAAAAAGTGGCTAGTAAATCTTTTACTATTGCCATGACATGTCTGCAATTGCAAAGGCTTCCTAGCTAGATTCTTAGTCTTTTTTTCTATTTGTAGTAGCCTGGTTGATGTGAATATACTCTAATACTCTATATTTTGTCTAGTTTGATTTATATAGATTTATTTCTTGAGTTTAACCTTTATAGTAGCTCTGTTGAGAATCTGTACTATCTCTCTACTTGAGACTTGCCAAGCAGGTTTCTGTATTTGCAATTCTCTAGATTTATACAGTCTGGTTTGTTCATGTAATATTATATCATACAAATATTCTAACCCTCCTATTTTACTTGTATAACTATAGTTACAAATATTTTATCTTAATGATTGATCAAATATAGTTAGCCATAATACAAGCAAAATTTTCAAATTTTTATTGCCAGTAGAATTTGAACTCTTAACCTGCTGCTTGGGGATAACAACTTGACTACTTTGCTATATCACCATATCTTCTATAGTATTTAATATTATTTTATAAGAAATATTATAGTTTTGAAATATTTAAATTTTTTTTTATAGTTTATAAAATAATTTCATTAGTTAAAGAATTTTTTTATTAAAGTATTAGCAATCTGTATTACTAAAGTATTTATAATAACATATCAACAAAGATATATAGTCGACTCTGTTTATACTGAACTTCTATATACCGAAATTTGGTTATAATGAACCGGATTTAGCAGAACAAATTTATCTATAATAAATTAAACTGTTTATACCAAACTATATATTAAATTTTTATATACCGTATCCGAACTAAATTTTTTAGCCCATTTATTACAAATATTATTTGTTTTTTCTTGATATAACGAAATATTCACATGACTCTGAAATTCATAAAATCAAGTACGAATCACAGAATGAATTGCGGTTTTCTTCTAATAAAAAGACTGCCTATTATAAAATTATTTGAGTACCAATCTGTGTTAAAAAATTATTTAGCGTAAGATAATATAAAACTATTACTATTGTTAAAAGATAAATTTGTTTTTTTTTGCTATATCTATGTGTATCTAATTTATTGAATTCATAAGAAATATACTAAATTAATTACAATAACAATTTGATCTTATCTGATAATTCTAACTATTTTTGACAATTACTTGATTCAATTGATATAACATAATAAAATTTTACACTTATTCATATAAGTATATACATATTTTAGTATAAAGCATTCATGTTTGCATGCAACAAATATTGAATAAAATACACATTAATTGGTTTTATATATTTAATAATGATAATTCTTATGTATAAATTATCAAAAAAAATTTTTTATACAAGTTGGGTAACTTACAACATATGAATTATTTAACTGAAATTTATTATTGTATATATATATTAATTGTCTCAAAAAATGAAATAGATATATAATATATAATCTAGTTTTTACAATCTTGATGATAATTTTATCTAAGCTACTAATCAAAAAGACTAAATAACAGAGCTCAATCGCATATATGTAAAAAAAAAGTAATAGCACCGTAATTAATAAGCTGTGTAAATAAATATAATCACAATCATTTCATACTATACGTTTATGTTTTAAAAAAAAAAGAGCTATGTGAATAATTAAATAGAAAAAAATTAATACAATCTTTTTTTGTTTCAAATACTAAGCTTCAAATACTATGAAGTTCTAAAATTCTTCAACAAATTCATAAACTAAAAAATTAAAAAGTGATGAAAAGTTGTATAAAGTAATAAAAAACATATAAATTGATCTAATAAAAATATTTTAAATAATATCTCAAGTTTTTTTTTTTGCTTTTTTCAAAAGTCAACATATTTTCTAATTTCAATAACGTCAACAAAAAAACGAACTATTCTTTCAGCTATGCAAAAACGAAATATTTGTCTAGAAAAAGAAAAAAATCCAAATATTAAAAATATAAATTTGGCTGATTGTTATAATATTAGAAAATCAACTATAACTGATATTCTAAAAGAAAAAAGAGTGATAGTTAACTATTGTGAGTGAAGAAGGAGAGAGTATAAAAAAGTTTCGTGTATCTAAATGGCTACAACTTGAACAAGTACTTGCCTTTTGGGTAAATAATGCTCTCAATATGAACCAAGATATCAAAGGTCATATTCTTAAAGCCAAAGCAAAATTTTTTGCTGATCACCTCAATATTGATGATTTCTATTAGTCTGATGGCTGGCTTACAGGTTTTAAAAAAAGACAAGGACTTTATTAATTCACAAAACAAGGTGAGTCTGCAAGTATCCCTTCTGCAGAGAAAATAGAAAAAGAATGGCTTGCTTTGCGAAATTTTCTTCAGTCATATAAGCCAGAAAATATTTGGAATGGTAATGAAACAGGGCTTTATTGAAGAATGAAGCCATCTCAGACTTTAGCTCATTTAAAGTTGGCCAGTCACAAAAAAGAAAAGGCAAGGGTGACAATATTTTGTACAACAAACTCAAATAGAAGCAAAAAAATGAAACTTTCTTTTATACATATATCTAAAAGACTTCGACCATTATGAAATATTAATTATAAAAATCTTCCTGTCTATTATTACTGGAATAAAAAATCTTGGATGCAAGTTAGCATCTTTAATGATATTTTTCTCGAAATTAATAAAAAAATAAAACAAAAAAAAAATTGTACTTTTAATTGATGGTACAACAGTACATATCATTCTTGATGAAACCAAAGCAAAGTTAGATTGCATCCAAGTAAAGTTCTCCCACCAAATACAACTCTGATCTTCCAACCTTGCGATGCTGGAATTATCTATTCATTCAAATGTCACTATAAATGTCTTTTTGTCTAAAACCAAATTAATGCATATGATGATCTACAAAATAAAATAACAAAAGAGCTTGCTGAATATTCAATTTATGATACTATACTTAATGCGACTGAAGTATAGTCCATGGTGACATCAAATACAATCAGCAATTGTTGGCAAAAAAACTGGTATCTTACTACAAGAAAATTTAGAATCCATTATGCCCTTCGAATTAGAAGCTATTGATTCAAATATTGATAGGTAGATTTTAGAAATTAAAAAAAATATGTATTTAAAGGTTTATGCATATAAGTCTATTAATACACATAAATTTTCAATGCATATTTTTTGTTCTCACTTAATCTAAGAGTTGAAAATTATCTATAACATATATTATACTATCATATACAATATAGAAATATATAGTATTTATACAATACATATAATAAATATTATATCGTATAATTTCTAACTCTGCTTAACCCTAAATAATATGAGTATCGCTAAAAAAAAACCCTAAAATTTAAATATGACTTATATTTAAATTTTTGAGTTTTCTTTTAATGACACTTATATATAAAATGGTGAATACATAATATATCTATGTTGAATGTATATCATCCTACCAACAAGTAAAATATAAAAATCTGATAAAAAAATTAATTAGCTTAATTTATTTTAATGACATAGATGAAGAACTTAAAGAATTAATTGATCATTTACCAGAAGACGATCATCTTGCTGCTTATGAATATATTCATATTGAAGATGGCAAACTTGAGAGTGGACTTACCGATAATAAAATTCTAGAGGTGATCGAAAATAAAAATAAGGAAGAGGAAGAGAATCATAGTGAACCTGTTGAACAACTTGAAAAGGTTAGCTCTAGGGAGACAGAAATAAGTCTAAAGAAAATATTAAGATTTTTATACGAACAAGAGCCAGAGTTTGGAGAAGTCAAAGGAGAAATAAGAATTTTGAATAAGCTGCATAAATGGGTCAGATTAACTGTTATAAAAAGCCTCAAGCAAGTTGATCTTCACTACTTTCAGAATACCAAATAAACTTTTTACATATATCCTATCTTATAATTTTTATTAAATATGTATTGATTTAAAATTTTTAATAAAATTTTTAAATTACCATAAAACTTCTTGATAAATTCATAAGTATACATACTGATACGTTAGAAGAATAAAACATTTCCAAATTATCAAGATAAGGTGGCTTAAATTTAGATCTGCAAGATTTACCATATATGTATGTACATACATACATTTAGTAGAGACCTAAAATGTTACCTTGAAACAAAACAACCCTCTTAGAATTCAAATATCGAAAAAGTATTGGCAAGTGGAAGTTTATTGTACAATATTTTCTTGTTCACGTGAATTGTATAAATCCATATTACTTGTTAGTAAAAGAATGTGTATTTAATTTATAATTGAACTTCTTATATATTAAAACTGAATTGATAAGATTTGTGATTGGTGTGACCTGAAATCAGTCGATTAACGAAGTAATAGAAAATCAATGATATTACATATTTATCACGTGAAATATATTCTATTGGTTAGCTCTATATACCGAAATATTTAATATAAGGAGAGAAAGTTATATAATGAACTCACTATATACCAAACAAAATGCCTCAGAACATGCAGTTCGGTATAAACAGAGTTGACTGTAATAACCCACATGTATAACTTTAGTTATTGTCTATTTAAGAGCAGTGTTATTTACTGTATATTGCCAAAAATAAGCTACCTCTAAAAATAAGCTACCTTTCTTTTTTGGAAAAAAAACATAAAAATGTCTTATACCCGAAAATAAGCTACTATATGATCATCAGTAGTTACTCTATAGTAAAGTCAAAATTTTACTAAGTAAATCAATATAGCTTATTAAGTGAAAGTTGTTTAGGAGATCAAAATACATATATTTTGAAAGTTTCATCCAAATTAGATAACTTTTTATTAATATGTTTTTGCATGTTACGTTCGACGAATTTTTTAAAATTTCTTTAACATTTCTT